GGCAGGAGAAGAGGGAGGGTAAGTTGCTTCCTCCCTGCCTCTCCCCACCCCTGCCTGCCTGGGGACAGGGAGGGCCTTCGCGGGGCTTCCTTGCACTCCCGCTGGCCTTGCAGGTCCACCGCCGGGCCCCTCATGGGGCTCGGCAGTGGATCTGCAAGGCCGGCGTTGGCGGCCGGGACCGTTGGGGGCGGGGTGTGTGGCCTTATGACACATTTCCGGTGATGTCAGGGGGTGTGGCATATGCTAATGAGGTATGCTAATGAGTTCCCCTAGCTCTTTTTCTATAAAATGACCCCTGGATAGGAGACCACAGATCTCTATTGGCCAGTAGAAGCTGAGAGTCAGTGTGGGCTAAGGGTTAGTGTTCAAATACCTGTTTCTGCCATGGAGGCTCCCTGGGGGACCTTGAGCCAGTCATGCACTCTCTCTCTCTCTCTCAGCCTAACCTACCTTGCAGGACTGCTTGGAGGAAAATGAAAGGAAGGGGAAACAATGTATACCACCCTGGGCTCCTGGGAGGAAGGGCGGGACGGTGGTGCTGGAAAGTGCCGTCAAGTCACAGCTGTCTTATGGCGACCCCCATAGGGCTTAGAAGGCAAGAGACGTTTCAGAGGTGGTTTGCCATTGCCTGCCTCTGCATCACGACCCTGGACTTCCTTGGTGGCCTCCCAACCATTTAGCCAGGGCTGACCCCGCTTGCCTTCTGAGATCTGATGAGATCAGGCCAGGGAAAGGGTGGGATAGAGATGTGCTAAATAAATAAACCACAGCCCTGTGGGCCCCAGTTTGGATCTGGGCCACATAGGAATTGGGGTACAACCCTTCCATCCCCACCCTTTTCCCTTGAGGAACCCCTCCCCAGTCTTAGCCCCTTGAACAGACAAAGGCAGGCATCACATCTTTTTAAAGGGAGGAAACACAAGGATCTGTGGAACTCAAAAGCTTGCATGCTAGTTATGTGTCATGTGGGGCTGTGGCTCAGTGGCAGAGCATGCAGAAGGTCCCAGGTTCAGTCCCTGGCATCTCCGTCTATAAAGGATCAGGTAAAGTAGAAGATCTTTACTGGAGACCCTGGAGAGCAGCTGCTAGTCTGAGCAGTCAGTGCTGACCTTGGAGAACCAATGGTCTGATTCAGCATAAGGCAGGTTCGTTTGGTTGGTCCTAATAAAAGGTATTATGTGGATTGTGGTTTGTTATTTGTTTGTTTTTAACTTTGAGACCCCACAGCACTGCTCACAACCTCTGATCTAGTCCTTTCGCCTGATGGTGATGGAAAGTGCCATCAAGTCACAGTCGACCTATGGCGACCCCTGTAGGGTTTTCAAGGCGAGAGACGTTTCAGAGGAGGCTGGCCACCAATGCTTCCCCTAAGCCGTAGAGTCTTGTGAGCAAAAATTCTACTTTGTGAGCTACTGGCATTAAAGTTGTGAGCGATCGATTTGGCTACTGCATAAATTAGTTTGCTCTGGAGCCATCCTTCCTGAGCTAAGACAAAAAGGTGTGAGCTGGAGGCTAAAAAACTGTGAGCTAGCTCACACTAACTCAGCTTAGAGGGAACACTGCTTGCCCACTGCCTGCCTCTGTGCGGTGACCCTGGATTTCTTTGGTGGCCTCCCATCCATGTACTAACCAGGCAGGGTCGGCTCACCCACTAGGCGAACTAGGCATTCGCCTAGAGCGCCGGGCCCTGGATGGGGCGCCAAGCTGTGCCTCCCCCCCTCCTCCCCCTTTGGTGGTGGCGGGGGTGGGGGGGAAGAGGTGGTGGTGGCGGCAGCAAAAGGGTGGCTGGCTCCAGAGGTCTCCAGGTTTCCAGGCCCCACCGGGAGGTTGGCATCTGCGCCACAAGGCAGCCTCGCCTATGGCGCAGAAACACCTTGAGCCGGCCCTGTAACCAGGGCTGACCCTGCTTAGCTTCCAAGATCTGGTGAGAGCAGGCTAGCTTGGGCCTAGGGTTGCCAGCCTCTATGTGATGCCTGGAGATCTCCCAGAATTACAACTGATCTTCAGACTACAGAGATCAGTTTCCCTGGAGGAAATGGCTGCTTTGGATGGTGGACTCTATGGCATTCTGCCCTGCTACCTCCCTCCCACCCACCCCCTTCCCCAGGATCCACCCCTAAATCTCCAGGAATTTCCTAACCTAGAGTTGACGACTCTACCTGGGCCATCCATGTCAAGGGTTCTTTTAGCCTGCCTACCCCCCAAAAAAGAGAGGTCTAGCAGGTTTCTTGTATGAAGTGAGTACGCTGTATGAATTTCACCCAGACATTTAGGGATGCCATCCTGCAGGTGGGAACTGGGGATCCCCCAGAATTACGCCTCATCTCCAGACTACAGAGATCAGTTCCCCTTGTCAAAACAGTTGCTTTGGAAGGTGGACTCTATGGCATTGTACCCCACTGAGGTCCCTGTCCTCCTCAGGCTCTATCCCCAAACATCCTGGCGTTTCCCAACATGGATCTGGCAACCCTACCCCCCTATCCCCTGCTGATGGCCAGTGGAGACCTGGCAACCCTACAGCCATGTGAGGACTGCAGCTCCTCTCCAGGGTGGGAGGGTGGACTTGCAGGCTGCACTGACTAGCACCGTCCCTAGAGACAGATGGGAAAGTGCAGGGAGAAAAGGAGAAAGGGGAGGGGGAGTGATAAAGTGTTGGCAACACTGTCTGGGGAAAAAGAATCCTGAAGGGGGGTATTCATTCACTGAAGTGGTGGGTGGCAGCGGCAGCTGGTGGAGCTCGTTTCTGGGAGGCTTGTTAGATTTACCACCCCCCAATTATGAGAGCTGAGATTAACAAAAGGAACCGTGGGGGCACAGTCTTTGCTCGAAGGTGGCTCAACCCAGCACAGATAAACACACTCCAATGTTCACTCTTCACCCCACCAATTATCTGCGGCCCACCAGTCTGTCTTGGGGGTCTCTTCCCTGATCGAGACCTTTAACAACTGTGCGAATGTGAGAAATCTATTGGAGTAGGATTCCCTGGCCCTCAGGTGCCCTGATATCTTCTTGAAGCAAACAGGGACCCTTGCTTATCGGCTGCCCACATTAAAACAACAAAATACCCTTCTCTCTTTGGAAGATAGACTAAGGGCCAAATTATCTATGAGACTGGAATTCTGGGATCAAAACTCCAGATGTGCCAGTTGGTTCTCAAAAGCAACCACTGGTGGGGGGTAAATCTGGGCTGCAGCCTGTGCTAAAGACAGACACAAGACATATCTGTGTTTTTCTCCCTACTAGAGCTTGAAACAGGCTAGAAGGAGGGATGTTTGTGATTGAGGAAACGGCAGAAGGAGAAAGTTTAATGTCCCACCCTAGTGCTTCAGGCAGTCCCAATCCAGGTTGCCTCCTGTGTTTCTTTAAAGGCCAAATAGAGCCAGTTTGGTGTAGTGGTTAATTTCACAGACTCTAATCTGGGAGAACCGGGTTTGACTCCCCACTCCTCCACTTGCACCTGGCTGGATGACCTTGGGCAAGCCATAGTTCTGTCAGAGGTGTTCTTGAAAAAGAGCAGTTTCTGTCAGAGTTCTCTCAGCCCCACCCACCTCACAGGGTGTCTGTCATGGGGAGAGGAAGGGAAAGGAGTTTGTAAGCCACCCTGAGACTCCCTTGGGTATTGAAGAGCGGGGTATAAATCCAATCTCTTCTTCTTCTTCTTTATTATTATTATTATTATTATTATTATTATTATTATTATTATTATTATTGAACTTCAACTGCAGTTTGTCTCCACCATGAATCATCAGATAATTGCGTTATCATTGTTCCGTAGCCATCATTTGCTTGCCCAGGATTGTCTTGTCTGCACAGACCTTTTTCTGGACTCCACAGCAGCCTGTTCTGTCAGCAAATGTTGAGTTTTGGTTAAAGGAAAAGCTGGCAATACCCTTTCAGATCTATTGGGTAGATTTGGGGGGTGGAGCTTGGGGAGGGTGGGGTTTGGGAAGGAGAGGGACTTTGATGGGGCATCATGCCATAGAGTCCACCTTCCATAGTGGCCATTTTCTCCAGGTGAGCTGATCTCTGTTGCCTCAAGATCACTTGTAATAGCAGGAGATTTCCAACCACCACCTGGTGGCTGACAACCCTAGGACTGGGGTCCCACCCAGATTCCTTCTCGATTCCTGTGCCCACAGCACCCAGTACAGATTATAACTGTGGCAGAAATGGGGCTTTGGCTTTCCTCCTTCACTATTTTCCTGAGCTGAAACCATCATGGGAGATGCTATTTGGCCCATCAGGGAAACCTACGCAACTCACATCTGACGGTGACACTGGACTCAGTGCAGGGACAACCAGTCACAACCTTTGTACTCTGCAATGTGGGGGTCCCCAACGTGGTGCCCATGGATTGCATGGTGCCCGCTGACACTTTTTCTGGTGCCCACCAAGTGTTTTTAGGAAGTGGGTGGGGCCAAGTAGGGCTTTTGCCCAACAAGGCTTTTGATTGGCTACTGGAGATTTGATTGGTTGTGCAGATTTTTTTTAAATGTTGCTTTGACAGCAGCTGCCACCACAGCACAAGGATCTGCACTGTGTTACTGAAGTTAAGCTGTGGCAGCCATTTTATGGTTGGCTCCACCTCCTGCGGCAGCCATTTTGTAACAGTCATTTTATTGCTGCGTCCACCATGCTGTCTCAGAATTCCAAATGTGCCCACAGGCTCAAACAGGTTGGGAACCCTTGCTGTGATGTGGCCAGGTCAAGCCCTTAATCCACCTCTGTAGCCATAAGAAGCATACTAGTTTCCTAACTAGGGTTGCCAGCTGCAGGTTGGGAAATACCTGGAGGTTTTGGGGGTGGAGCCTGAGGAGGGCAGGGTCTGAGAAGGGGAGGGACTTCAATGCCACAGAGTCCACCTTCCAAAGCGGCCATTTTCTCCAGGTGAACTGATTCCTGTCACTTAGAGATCAATTGAAATAGCGGGAGAGCTCCAGCCAACACCTGGAGAATGGCAACCCTGAAGTCCTAACCTGGAGGTTCCTGTTTCATTTCAGGGGAAGAATGACTGAGGTGGAGCCCGTGCTGGACTTTGCATCATCCGGCCGCACCGGCCGAAGGAACGCCTTGCCCGACATCTTGGGCTCGCCCGCTGGGGTCACCCCTACGGACTTGCCACTGAAACTGGCAGAAATGTCTCTGAACGCAGGTATCTCCCAGCCTAGTCCTTTACCTCCGTGCACTGGTGGTGCCCTCAACAAAAGGGGACTATTCTCCTAACATGCGTTGTCCAAATCCCCCATAATGTGTTGGAGTTGTTGCTGTGATTAGACATGGAAACTGTTCACTGGTCTAAGTTCACTGTAGCTCTTGGGTCCCTGTGATCTGTTTCTGGTATATCTGAAGTGGTGGTGGAAAGTGCCGGCAGGTTGCAGCTATCTTATGGTAACCTTGTAGGGTTTTCAAGGCAAGAAATGAGCAGGGGTGGTTTTCCGTAGCCTACCTCTGTGTAGCAACACCGCACTTCCATGGCTTTCTCCCATCCTTGTACTAACTAGAGCCAAACCTGCTTAGCTTCTGAGATCTGACGAGATCAGGCTAGCTTGGGCCACCCAGGTCATATCTGAAGTCAGTGTTGGAAAGCTGCTGGTTGCAGGCGACCTTTCGACTAATCTGGCATTGCTGTCCTTTGCATTTCATAGATTCTGGTCTGCTCAGGGCGCTTACTGACTGTTCACCTTTCTTGGAGAGACTCAGGGCAGATCACAGAATCACAAAAGCAATGCAATGAAGAAAAACAGTACAAGAAATCACCACAAATTTGAAAAACAAGCAATGGAACAGCCGGCTGATGAAAACAGAAACACGGTGTGACAAAGAAAATCTGTATAAGACATAGGGTGACCAATGCAGCGATGGGATTACAAACCTTAGAAAACAGTGCTCTGCAAACAAGATAATACATTGCCATAAACAGTGGGATAAACTACCACTTCTGAAAGTCCAACAAAAGCAATCATATCAAACAAGAACTTCATATTTAGGTAGCACATTTAAGGGCCCAAAGTATGTTGGATATTTTAACTCTGCATGCAAGAGGATCTGGGAGCAAAAGGGTTAAGAAAATTCTCTCACTCAGGTACACTTGGCAGTTGGACCCACCCTCTCATTGGTTAGATGTTGAGCGGTTCTTTGGCCATTTCTTGCCTTCTGTTTTTCATCTTATACAGGACCTCTCTTCTTCTCTCTCTTACATGAGCTTGGAGCTTTTAGCAAGCTAACCTTTTTGGTTACTCTGTTCGCAATAAGTTAAATGTACCTACATGAACTGGGGCTGCGGTGGCTCAAGTGGTTAAGATGCTGAGCTGCAGACCGAAAAGTCGGTAGTTCAGCAGTTCGGGACCTGAGTGCCACATGATGGAGCGAGCGCCCATCTCTGGTCCCAGCTCCTGCCAACCTAGCAGTTCAAAAGCAAGAAATTGCAAGTAGATAAATAGGTGCCACTTCGGCGGGAAGGTAACAGAGTTCCGTGCGCCTCGGCGTCTAGTCATGCCAGCCACATGACCATGGAAATGTCTTTGGACAGCGCTGGCTCTTCGGCTTGGAAATGGAGATGAGCACCACATCCCTAGAGTCGGATTCGACTGGCTTTCGAGCAAGGGAAACCTACATGAATATGTTATGTAAGATGTGCTTCTATTTTTGTACGTAAGATTTCTTTTTCTTGTTACCACTGGAGCCATATCATCTTTGTAATTTGTTTGAACAGCATTTCCCCCCTTTACTGGGAAATATGGAGGATCAGGGGTACTACAGAAAGTTTCTGTGCTTACAAGGCAACTGATATTTATTTTTTACATTTAACCCAGTAGTTCATGGGCCCAAAGCATTCACAGTGTACAGGTGTAACTGCAACCACCCTGTAAACTCATTATCATCATTGCTATCTGCATATAACATATGAAGTATAGTTCTTTCCCCTTCCGGGGCTAATTTTAACCTGAGGGGGAATGGCAGGAAGTGTTCTGTGTAATCAGAGGTTCAAGATTTCAACTGTCCCTTTATAAAGACAGGCTTACGACCACCTCCCAAGCATGCCAGTGGGAAAAAGATTGTTCCATAAACTCAGCAGTAGATAAGTATATCGGAAGTCTGAAAAGTGAAGGTGGCAAAAAATTGTAATGCATCACACGATGTATGTACAGATCTGTGTTCCACATCTTCCTTATAGTTATAGTTGTATAAAGAACATGACCTGTGTATAGCCTTTGTAACGTCATCTTTGTTACAGGATGGAATTGACCTTTAGTTGCTTTGTGTTATGTGAATATTTCTCTCTCTCATGCTAGTTAGCAGCTCTGATCTGATCTGCAAAGCCTGATTTGTTTTCTCTCACCACTAGACGCCCGGTGCAAGATGGCCTGGCTCATCCCAGTGTTTGGGATAGTCTAATTAATGATTTTTTGACTGATAGCCAGCACTTAGGGTATAAGATGCTTAGTTTTAGCTATGCATCTCATCTCATCTCGAGGTCTGGCAAAGTTTTGCTGTGTGTACGTGTGTGTTTGAGACCCAGTGGATGGGAGCTTAGCTTGCTATTATTATTAAAATCTCCTTGTAAGCAAACATAGATCTTGTATATCATTTCCTTGGGATGTCTGTGAACCTGGAGCTCCTGGCCAGAGCCCCAAACAACCTATCAAGTGCAGGATTTCAGTGCTGCTCACAAGGCCTGAGTGAGCCTACGTGGCCAAGATCCCCCATCAGCAATGGCGATTGGTGTCAGCTCACCAATTGTCTCCTCCTGCACTGTTTCCAGTTGGGGGGAGAATGCAAGGGTGAGCTAATGCCCTTAGCCTAGGGTTGCCAACCTCCAGGTGACACCTGGAGATCTCCCACTATTACAACAGATCTCCAGACAAGTGGCCAACTAGTTCCTCTGGAGAACCAACAATAAGGGATAGAGGCCAAGGCCTTCCCCTGATGTTGCCTCCTAGCTCTGGGATTCAGAGGCTTAGTGCGTCTGAGTGGGGAGGTTCCCCTCAATCACCATGGCTAGTAGCCATTGATAGACTTATCCTGCAGTTCTGGCTTGTGCCAAAGGTTGCCATCCTCCAGGTGGTGGCTGGAGATCTCCTGGGATTACAACTGATCTCCAGATGACAGAAATCAGTGTCCCTGGAGGAAATTACCACTTTGGAAGGTGGACATTATACCCTGCTGAGGTCCCTCCTCCAGCCCCCCCCCAGGCTCTCCAGTTATTTGCCAACCTGGAGCTGGCAACCCTACTTGTACCACCGCCAGGGACCACTCAGCTTGACTTGCTCCAACCAGGGCCATCATCATGTCTCAGTCCACTTTTGAATAAGCCCATGGCCATTTCCCAGTCTCCAGTCATTACTTTTGACCTTGTGTATGCATCTGTCTCTCTCTCTCCTCCCAATCCCCCTCCCCACAGACAGGTCTCAAGAAATGCAGTCGCCAGCCACAGAGGTGCCTCCACAGGCACTGCAGAGTCCAGAACTGAAAGATACCTCCTAACCCTCTCCATGCGGAGGCAGATGAAGCCAAAAAGGGAAAGGAAAAAAAAACTTCTTAAGTGTCAGCAGAAGTTTGCCTGGCGTTTCCTGGGATTTCCTAGTCATGACCTGGCAAGACTGTCTCACATCCTTTGATGCGATGGAACAACGGAGGAAGGAGTAGAGAACAAGCAGCCATTTTTTAAATATACCAAATCTTGAGGGTCTCTTTCTTCTGTGGGGGTTTGGAAGAAGGAATGGAGGGATTAGGGAGGAGGGCTTTCTTGTTTCCACACTGCCGCTGTTGAAGAGCACCAAGTTACTGCTTTACGGAACCACAAAGAAGGTTGTTGAAAGGATTAACTTCTTTTTCTTTAACCGAGTTCGTTGTTCATTGTGATGTCTGGAGTTGTGTGTTCGTCCTGTTTACCAGATTGGGTCTTCTTTGCCACGAAGGGCAAACTTGCAAAGTTATCGACCCAAGAGTCCAGCCCATCCTCTGCTCTGCATCCCAAGGATGGCTGATCCCTGCCAATAAGGAAATTTCCTTCTGAAAGTATTTCCTGTCTGTTTGGGAGCCTGCTGCAGCCTGTGCAGAAAAGACACAAGAGTTTACCCTGATTGCCTGAAATGGAAATAAAATGTGGACAGTATCTTCAAAGATTCCTTGTTAACTGGAGATTCAAAAAACTGAAATTAGAAGCAAAAATTTTAAAAATCCTGGAGCACCTTAGAGACCACTTCGTTCATTGTGCCATGAAGTTATGGAGGATACGGATTTTGCAAAAATATAGAATGTGGTCTGAGCTGGCCATTCAGCATTCTGATGCTCACATGGAGGGGGATAAAACAAAGTTAGAGTCCAGAGGCACCTTTAAGACCAACAAAGTTTTATTCAAGGACAGACCTGGGAAATATATCCTCTGATCAGATATCTGAAGCCAAGCAGCAGTTTTTGGGTTACTCACAGCCCTGATTATATTGCAGCTGCCGTCTCTGGACATCCCAAGATGGGCAGAGACTACATTCAAACCGCACTGACAACAGCTTGAGGAACAACAAAAGCACATGCAACAGAAACCAGAGATATCAAGGCTGTATTTGATCTATCCCCCCCCCCCCCCCAGCACAACGGTGAGCTTTTTCTGCTGGCATGCCTCTTAGAAAGACATCGTACTGATTTCCTTTTTATGGCAACCGTCATTAAAATGTTCAGAGAAGGAGTCAGAACACTTTTATCAGTGCCCCTTGAAGGGCAGGTTGCTTCAGTGTTCCAGGCTTACAGAAGCACTAATGTCTTGTGAGGTTCTGTTCACACAAACGCTGCTCATTAAACTTGTCCGGTGTCGATGACTGTCTGGCTATCTCGCTGTTTGACATGAGTTCTAGCACACTTTTTTTTTTTTTAAAGGATTCACAGTTTGCTTGAGCGATCCTTTTCTCCCCTTGCTTGCCTCTTGAGGTTTTAAAATACATCACTGGGTGCTGGCTGGTACTCCACAAGTAGAGTTGCCAGCCTCCAGGTGAGGCCTGGAGATCTTCTGCCGTTGGTCTCCAGACGACCAAGATCAGTTCCCCTGGAGAAAATGGCTGCTTTGGAGGGTGGCCAATATGGCCTTGTACCCTGCTGAGGTCCCTCCCCTCCCCAGTCCGCACCCTTCCCAGGCTCCACCCTCCAAATCCCCAGGTATTTCCCAACCCAGAGCTGGCAACCCTGTTCACAACGTGTGGCTGATTGGCACGGATTAGCTTTTACAACCATTGATCTGAGGCCCGGCAGCCGGAGCGGAATATTGCCATGCATATGATGAACAGCTTGGGAGGCATCTGGGAAGCTCAGCACGAGATTCTAATTGTACTAAATCTGAACCTGCCAAGCAAGGTTGTTATTTCCCCCCCTTCAACAGCAGATAAGTTCAGTTGCAAGGGTGTGTGTATTTCACCATGAATCGATTGCCTGGAAAAACGTATTTTTCAAAAAACAAAGAAAGCCAAACTAGATGAAACACTAAATCCCGGGTCACTGCTGAGAGGAACTTTTTTTTTAAATTGAGTATTTCAATCAATGTAAAATAAAACAAGTATGGATATTTATGTATCATTTGCACTGTAGAGTCTTCATGTCATTCCTAACGATTGTGCTTTTTGCAAGATCGAGCCATTGACATCATGGTGACATCACATCCAATGCTCCCTCTAAGCTGTGGAGTCTTGTGAGCAAAAATTCTACTGTGTGAGCTCCTGGCATTAAAGTTGTGAGTGAGCGATTTGGCTGCTGCATAAATTAGTTTGCTCTGGAGCCATCCTTCCTAAGACAAAAATGTGTGAGCCGGAGGCTAAAAAACTGTGAGCTAGCTCACACTAGCTCAGCTTAGAGGGTTCACATCCCTGCTCTGCATCCTGGTAGTGGGTGGGGAAATGTAGGAAGTCAGAATATGGAAGGGAGAACTGTTTTGTTTGTTTGCTTTGTTTATACCCCACCTTTCTCCTTAATGAGGACCCAAAGCTGCTTACATCATTTTTCTTACCTCCATTTTATCCTCACAACAACCCTGTGAGGTAGGCTGGGGCTAAGGTCACCCAGCAGGCTCCCATCATGCAGAGTGAAGATTCAAACCTGGGCCTCCCAGGTCCTAGTCTGACACTCCAGCCACGATACCACACTGGCACTGGACATGCAGCAGCAGCTGTGTTTAGCATTGGCATTTTTAAAAAGGAAAGATCCTTAGGGTCCAGTACCATATTATATGGGAAATCTGTGAATGGATTGCCAGGTTTATAAATTTAAACTATTAAACCAGCAACAGAGTTTCCTAATTTGATCAGCCCAGCAGTGCATGAGGGAGAAGAAGACGAAGAAGAAGAGAAGAGATTGCATTTATACCTGGCTCTTCACTTAAAGCCTGAGAGTGGTTTACAATCTCCTTTCCCTTCCCTTCTCCACAACAGACACCCTGTGAGGCACGGTGGGGCTGAGAGCTCTTTTGAGGACTGCTCGTGAGAGAACAGCTCCGAAAGAACTTATGGTTGACCCAAGGTCACACCAGCAGCTGCATGTGGAGGAGTGGGGAATCAAACTCAGTTCTCCAGATTAGAGTCTGCTGCTGCTCTTAACCACTACACCAAACTGGCTCTCGAGGTTTTTGACCTCTCTCCCCATACTATTTTCACAAGTGTTCAGCCCCAAAGTTGCTTTTATCCACTTAGGAGAAGAAAGACACACCCACAGGTACAATCAGTGATCGCCTGCATGACACGTCCTTTGGTCCTCAGTGATGGGGGTGGTGGAAAGTGCCAAGTTGCAGCTGACTTATGGCGACCCCCTTGGGATTTTCAAGGCAAGAGATTAATAGAGGCTAGCCTGAGCCACACACATTTCCAAATAGCTGAGTGGTGTAATGATATCACTTAGCCAATGGGTGGCACTGTCCCTCAAACGGGATTTCTGAAGGAAAGTTGTACAGTTGTTAGTGCCAGTTCCAGAGAAGCGGTTGTGTTGGTCTGCTGTAGCAGAATTAAACAAGAGTCTTCTGGCGCCTTAAAGATGAACATATTTTTGTCCTAGCATCAACCATCTGGCCCTGCACACTTTCTAAAAGTGGTTCATGTTGCCAGGGAAGATGTTGGCAGATGCCATGGTGTCCACATTGGGGACCCTTGCGCCTTCCATGCAACTCAAAATGCTCCCAGGGAGTGTTGCCAATTCCAGGTTGGGAAATTCCTGGAGATTTTGGGGTGGAGCCTGGACAGGATTTGGGGAGGGGAGGGACTTCAGTGCCACAGTGTCCACCCTCCAATTCCAAAGCACCCGCTTGCTACACCCTCCACCCTCCAAAACATCCCTGTTATCTGGAGATCAGTTGTAATAGTGGAAGTTCTCCAGGCCCCACCTGGAGATTGACAACTCTACCTTCACTAGGGAGACCTGTGGGGGGGGGGGAGTTGTGAAAAAAGACATTAAAAAAGCAGGGTCAAAGACCCATGAAATGCCGGAAGAACAGGGTGAGTTGTCATTATGTAAGATTTAAACGTGACCAAGGAGAGTACTGAGACCATTCACAACCACAGTAACTTGGCAAGTTCCCTAGTTTTGCTAGGCTGGCTAACACCTGCAGTGGCTGAGGCATTCCAAGTCCTGGCTAGCTCGTGAGAGATGGGATCAAACTTGTTGATAAGTTCTGATTCAGCAGTTGCACACAGCAATCTCCCTTTGAATTTCTTTGGCTAGGGAATGGAAGTGTTTGGATCAGCAGCAACAGTGTGTCACAGAGAATGAAATGGTCTGTTTTCTGAACATATTAATTTTTAATGTCCTGTTTGTGTCCATTTAATGTGGGGGTGCAGGGACATGGTCTGTTTGTCCCATGGAGACTGCAGAAAGACACTGTAGACACCTGATGGCATAAGTCACACTGGAGAATCAGCAAGTAGATGAGATGAAGGGAATGTAGGTGACAGGATCAGACCTGTTCATTCGCTTACTTCATTTGTACCCGGCCTTGTTTCCTAACAAGGACTCCGTGTGGCTTACAGCATTCTCCTCTCCTCCATTTTATCTTCACAACAACCCTGTGAGGTAGGTCAGGCTGAGAGTCTTACAAAGTGCTGTTGCCTGGTCTACACAAGGTGAATAGGGCAATCCTAGCAAAACCAACCCAGTCTGAATCCGTTGATATCAAGAGGGTTAGGCTGGAATAACTGCATAGGATTGCAGTGGAAGCCTGTTGTTCTAGAAACAAGCCACCCCTTTATTGTGCCAAGTTCTTTCTCTCCTGTTGTTGCCATCCTCCAAGTGGGGCCTGGAGGTCTCCCGCTATTACAACTGATCTCCAGATGATAGAGATCAGTTCCCCTGGAGAAAATGGCTGCTTTGGAGGGTGGACTCTATGGCATAATAATGCACTGAGCTCCCTCTCCTCCCAAAACCCTGTCTTCCTCGGGCTCCACCTCCAAAATCTCCAGGAGTTTCCCAACCTGGAATTGACAGCCCTACAAATTCCCCTCTGCCTTCCAATCCCAGCAGCATCTGGGACAAGTTCCAGACCTCTCTGTCCTCACAGGGGTGAAGTGATATCCCTGAGGACAATGTTCAGAGCAAGGAAATGGTTGGGAGAGCAGGGGAACAAGTCAAGTGCTGCTCCGGAGTTGCTGCATGGTGTAATCATCTTGTTTGAATTAATGTGTGTTAAAAAGTAACTTCTCCAAGGAGCCCTGCAGATTCCTTTTGAAAGAAAGACCTGGGACTACGACGGCGGTAAGCAGCAATCAATGCAGTGGGAATGCAGTATTCGAGCCTGTCCAACTTCAGTCAGGACGGCCAGTGAAATATTGATAAGTGTGCAACAAAAAGGGCATTTATTCAATGCAGAAAATAAGTTCTAATCTAAGTAGTTGTGTTGATCCAAAGAAAACTATAAAAATGAGATCTGGGACTTCCTGCATGCAAAGCAGATATTCTATAACTGAGCCACAGCTAGGGTTGCCAGCTTCCAGGTAATGGCTGGAGATTTCCTGGGATCACAACTGACCACCAGACAATAGAGATCAATTCCCCTGGAGAAAATGGCCACTTTGGAAGGTGGACTCTGTGGCATTATTCCCCACTGAAATCCCTCCCCTCCCCAAAACCCACCCTCCTCTGGCTCCACCCCCCAAATCTCCAGGTATTTCTCAACCTGGAGCTGGCAACCCTAAACCCTTGATGGTGTCATTGTTAAGTGCTCCTTGAGCTTAAGAACATAGGAAATGCCTTGGTGGATAAGAGCAGAGCTCACCAACAAGTTCAGGCTTTTTGCAAGAATCCCAACAGGTGCCAGCTGCTGGAAACTAGCCAGTGGTGTATCTATGCACCACTGCCAATTTACTACTTATTGAGATACTAGGAAAAATGCTCATTGTGGAAATAAATACAATGGCCTCTAGAAAGAGGCTCTAGGCAGGTGCCCCAGCCTTGGACACTCAGTGTTAATTTGCTGTGGTGACCTCAGCAGGGTATAATGACACTGAGTCCACCATTTTCTCCAGAGGAACTGATCTCTGCTACCTAAAGAACAGTTGTAATTTTGAGTGATCTCCAGCACTCACCTGGAGACTGGCAACAATGGTTCCCCAGAAGGGAATGGTTGGTTTGGAGAGTGGTGTCTAAGGCTTTCTACGTATATGAGGTCCCACCCCTCCTGAAACCTCACTCTCTCCGGGCTCCATCCCTCACATCTCCAGGAATTTCCCACCTGGAGTTGGCAACCCTATCTTCTTCCCAGCCAATCATCAACCTTCCTTTATTTCCACCCCCACACACACCTGCAGCCTCTCCCATGCTCTGAAGCCCTGATTGCTACGTCACATCGGCTGTCATACGGGGGCCACCTCAGCAGCATATAAGGATACAGAGCCCACCATTTTCTCCAGGGGAACTGATCTCTGCCATCTGGAAAGCAGTTGTAATTCTTTTTTTTTTGGTAAACAAATTTTTATTTTCTTAGGAATTCAACATTTATAATTAAATCATTTCATCTTTTCCATTGTCTACCCCATTCCCATTTCCT